ATTGTTGTTTGGCGGGTCCGGGCTGGGGATTCGAACCCACCACCTTCGGTGTACGTGGCTGGCGCCTTAGCCGGTCGAGCTATAGGCGCCGAGCCCAGATTTTATATTCTAAAGTTAAAGTTCCCTAAAATATTTTAAGACAAGTATAGTCAGATTTATGTTTTTGAACATTCATAACTATTTGGACAGAGCTCAGATCCTATCAGGTGAACTCAGGCCTTTCTTAGTGGCTCTGCAAGCCTGTTCCTACTCTCTCTAGGGTTTGCCCAGATTTCCAAATGGAAGAGTATGAGCGTCTCCATCAGTATCTCACACTTCCTCCTGGCTCCAAAGCTGAAGGACTGGGGAGCAGTCATTTAAATAATTCTCTGCAAAGGTGGGACTACACTGTGGTCATGCCTGTATCTCAGCTGCTAGCATATGAGTGCTTACTAGGTATTCAGTCAGCATCAACGGAAGGATTGAATGAATGAAAGAAGCCCTTCAAAATCCTATCTGCTCAATGGTTCCTTATAGGTGACACTATTGTGACTTCCATTTTTACAGCAAATAATAAAGGGAGTTTCCCCTAAACAGCCAACAATGGTAAAACCCAGGGGTTGTAAACCAGACCACCTCCTCCCCTACACCCGAGAAAATTAAGGTGTGCCCTCCACAGTTACGGATGTCTTTGTGGTATTTTTCATTAAATGCAAACTTATTTTTAAAATAGATTTCAAAATCCCCCTTCAAAAATGTGTTTATTTATAAAAATTAGGAAGCGAAACCAACTTGATGATAAAGTTTAAACAAAAGTGATCTACACCATAGTGTCTGGTCTGTGACTTTAACCCAGGTGAAAACCAGAGACCCCGACATGGAGCAGAAGCAATGAAGAGAGAACCACAGGGTGGTGCCTGTGGCTCAAAGGAGTAGGGCGCCGGCCCCAGATGCCAGAGGCGGTGGGTTCAAACCCAGCCCTGGCCAAAAACTGCAAAAAAAAAAAAAAAAATAGAGAGAGAAAGAGAGAGAGCACAACAGCTGTGGGGATTTGAAACATGGAGGCCAGGTTCTAAAGACACAAAAAAAGAAAGTGCTCCCAAGAGAACAAACAGCAATGCACACACCCAGGGGGCCCTTCCCTAAACCCAACCAACCCTCCTCAACCTCAACCCACCCAACCCTCCTCCATCTCAACCCAACTAACCCTCCTCCATCTCAACCCAACCAACCCTCCTCAACCTCAACCCACCCAACCCTCCTCCATCTCAACCCAACTAACCCTCCTTCATCTCAACCCAACTAACCCTCTTCAACCTCAACCCAACCAACCCTCCTCGACCTCAAACCAACCAACCCTCCTCCATCTCAACCCAACTAACCCTCCTCAACCTCAACCCAACCAACCCACCTCGACCTCAACCCACCCAAGCCTCCTCGACCTCAACCCACCCAAGCCTCCTTGACCTCAACCCACCCAACCCTCCTCGACCTCAACCCACCCAA